TGCTTCTGGTACGCCCTTTCAGTGGTCTCAGCAATGTGAATTGGCTTTCGACAGGTTGAAGAGTGCCCTCACGACCGATCCTGTACTTTCTCATTTTCACGATGGTGCACCGACCTTCCTTCATACAGACGCTAGCGGCCACGGTTTAGGAGCCGTGCTCCTCCAGCGCGACAGCTCTTCGCGAGAGCGAGTCGTTGCGTACGCCAGCCGCGTCCTCTCCACAGCCGAGAGGAACTATACGATCACCGAGAAGGAGTGCCTCGCCATCGTTTGGTCAGTGCAGAAATTTCGTCCCTATCTTCACGGCCGCCATTTACCCTTTGTGACCGACAACCACGCTTTATGTTGGCTTTCGACACTCAAGAACTTGTCGGGACGCCTCGGCCACTGGATTCTACGCCTACAAGAGTATGATTTTGACATGGTATACAAGTGTGGCAGAAAGCATAGCGACGCCAATGCTCTTTCTCGCTGCCCACTACCAGCGGCTCCCCTCAGCGTTTCCGCAATCACTTTGCACAACACACCCTTGGAGTCCACGTCTACGGCGGTTTCCTCTCTCGCCTCTATGAACCAGTTGCCTTTGGACGACCCGCACGGTTTTTCTTCTCGACAGCTGGCTGACCCATACTGTCGACGTATTATAGGCTACGTCACTGGCAGTTCCCGTCCACCTGATGCGAGGCTCTGTCGCCAACTCTCGCAGTTTAAGCTGGAAAACTCGGTGCTATACCGCAAAATTTACCATCCTGACAATCAGCGCTTGGTTCCCGTTCTACCCGGATCGCTTCGGTCCGAAGTCCTCAGAGCACTTCATGACCATCCGATGGCTGGTCACCTTGGTTACCACAAAACCTACGATTGCCTTCGAAGTCGGTTTTATTGGCCAGGTATTACAACTAGTGTAGCTCCTGTTGGGTCTAGTTGGGTCCTGCACTACCTGCCAATGTAGAAAACTACCCACATCTGCTCCAGCCGGTACACTACAGCCTCTTCCGTGCCCAGCCACACCATTCAAAGTTGTAGGCATCGATCTTTATGGCCCCCTTCTAGTCAGTGCTGCTGGAAACCGATGGATAGTAACAGCCGTTGACCATTTGACGCGCTACGCCGAGACGGCATCCGTCACTACCGGTTCAGCTTCTGGAATTGCCGGTTTCATCCTCCGAGCCGTTATAGTGCGTCATGGTGCTCCACGTGTATTGCTCAGTGACCGTGGAAGGGCCTTTGTTTCATAACTAGTGAACGCACTTCCTCACGCCTCCGGCACAACTCACAAGACTGCCTCTAGTTATCACCCCCAGACTAATGGCCTCACTGAGCGATTCCACCGCCCTCTGGCTGACATGATCGCCGCCTATATTCAACCAGACCACAAGAACTGGGACAGAGTTCTACCATTCGTAATCTTGGCTTACAATAGGGCCATTCAGTGGACAACCTGCTACTCACTATTTTACCTAGTTTATGAACGCTCCCCACTTCTTTCCTGGACGTCTTTTTCTTTACCTGCCACCCGAATTCATCTCTATCTTTCTCAGAAGAATACATTTTACGACTCGCACAATGTCGCACACGTGCCCGTGTAAACACTAAAGCCTGACAGCAAGACAGAAAGCTGGTTTATGATGAATCGCATCGTGCTGTATCCTTTCAACCTGAAGACGAAGTGCTCCTTTTGACGCCTATTCGCACACCTGGTTTGTGCGACAAATTCCAGCCACGGTTTATCGGGTCGTACACAGTTCTTGAAGAAACTTCACCACCAGTGAATTATCGCGTGACGCCTCTTGTAGCCCCAGCAGATCGTCGTTATCGAACTACTGAGGTCATCCATGTCTCCCATATGAAGCCCTTCATGCGACGTTCTTTGTCCCCTTGACTTGCCGCGGCCAAGCTGGCCGCTTTCACATGGGGGGAATTAGTGTGGGCATTTAGTATACCAATCCTCTTCATCTGTACATTATCATCATTATCGTGTTGCTCATGCATCCTCATCGTTGTCACGTATCATCATCATCTTGGTTCGTTCTTCTCAGCTGTTGGCTGCCGGTTCCTCGGGCCTAATACAGGTCTTCCAAACCAAGACTTCATAAAACGTTTATTTCAAGTTCTGCGCAAGAAAATTGGTGAATGGTATGCTGGAGGCACTGCGTTAGAGTGCTACGAGCGTGCAGCGAAGGTGAACGAGCGCATCAACTCACGTCACACGTGAAACATGACCGCTATCTGGCAGTTATTTTAGAAAACAAATTGCACACACCTGGGCATCCGTCTCGGAGGTGACAAGCTGTAGAACGCAAGGAGACGGGTAGGGGCCACTACCGTGTCGTCTTAGCAAAGCCATGGAAACAATTGCCTTTTCATGCAAGCGTTGCCTGGTCAGCGCAACAGAGTAAATGCTACGGTCTTTATAATTACTTATATATATATATATATGCCTTTTCTAGTAAAATACACACATACAGAATATTGACGTGATGTTATGATGCCTCAAATATGTGCAATAATTGCTTTTTTAATTGACAATCCCACAACTATGAGTGCTGAATCTTAAGAAATATTGGTGGGCGCTGCGAATAGGGTCGGCCGTTCGGAGTACCGTTTGGCCACTTTGGTGGCGTTTAAAGTACCGTTAAGGGCAGACAAACAGACAAACATACAAACAGACAGACAAAAAGTATTGCCCGAAGCTTCTCAAGAAAGACTGTCGTCTTTAAAAAAAGGTAAAAGGGGCATTCTGAAGCATGTAAAAGGCGCGCTCGCGTGTGCACTGCTGCAGTTTGCTTGGGACGAAAGATATCACAGAACGCGGCGAGCACCGCTCCCAGATTTCAGACGTTGCGAGCAAGGTGGTTCACCTTCCAGGCGTTTCTTCACAAGCAGACCGGAAGAGAGGGGGATAAGAACTAAAAGAAATATAGGATGCAGCATAGAAAATTGCAGTCAGTCTTCACACGGCGAACTTTTCAGACGCTGTTCTCGGCATCTACGACCACCAACGATAAACCAACAATTTCTTCGAACCCAGGAAGCCATAAATGCGAGAAGCGATAACTTTTGTTGCGTGAAAGTTCCCTGCGAGGCTCAACTCTTTGACACTACCACATTGTGGCTTTCTTCTACGGCGTGTTCCACAGACACCTTCATTTCTTGCCGTGCGCTTGGCGTGTCTTCTTCTTTAGACAAGTGTCATCAGTCATGCCAGCAAAAAAAAAACAGAAAGTCGTTGCGTCGGTCACGTAGCATGAGCAGGAAGCAGATGGACACACGTGCGAGACGGGAGCCAGTGGCCGACAAACAACAACCAGGAATAAAAAAATCGCAGCCTCGTTGGCCGCATCAACCAATGGGAACCGAGAGATGGGAGGGCTCGCATGGTGCGCACGTGCTCCAGCCAATGAGTGATTGGGAAGGGGGCTTCAGAAAAGGGGTGAGGGCAGCCGTTCCTTTCATGTGACACCATTTTGCAGGGTGGCATAATGTGCACAAAGAAATCAGCTTCAAAACGAGCTCAAGATGACGGCGATCGGCCAACTGCTTCGCCAGCGGCGTGCGTGAAGTTCAAACAAGTATAACCTCTCGCAACTCCTATAGTGATTTCATAACAAATTTTAGCTCATTTATTGATCGAATTTAGCAATCACAATTTAAGAACATGCACGTACAGGAATACAGTACAGGAATAAAAATTTTAAAAATCGACTTCTTGGTCATTTTTCATCATTCTAAGCCCCGTGTCTCCCCTTAAGGGTTTTCCATCTTTCGGTAACGGCAAAGACTGGTTAATTAAAGATAACGACTTCCCCACGATCGTGGCGATGCCTTAACAAATAAGCATAAAAAGAGGGATAGCGAGGTGGCTGGTGGCAATGAACGTGCCCTTTTTACTCACCGCCGGTGAGCTTATCACAGTCATTTGAAGACAACTGCTCAGTGGAGTGACGGTGGTACGAGCACATCATGATACCGTTCGCAAGTTCGCCGTCGCTGTGTCGTGCGATGCCGCTTGCACACGTAGATCACAAAAACCGAACAGGCTACCCGCCGCACCCTAGTACAATCCTGAGAGTAACATGTGCGAAGAATGCAAAAACACGCTTATGCATTGGACTGCAAACGAGCTGGCATGCGACGGCGAAAGTAGCTAGGCTAAGCGACATACTACACGAAACTTGCCAGGGATGACTGGTTCGACGTCAGTGGATCGCGATTCAGTGAAATAGCGTGAATTGCCAACTGCTTTGCCATAGTTTGTGCCTTTAGCACAAAGCTCTCTATACCAGTTGAGAAGCATCACGGTTTACCATGTGTGTGCTTTGTTTCTAACATTTGTTTACTAGCAAAGTCTTTTTCCTTGAAGGCCCGTGGTGCATATTTTTCATTTCTAGACTGTTCAGAATATATAAGCTTGCAAATTTTAAACAGTAGTGAGAAGCACCAGATATTTTCTGGTACGAAACTGCAAAAAGTATGAAGTAATTTAATTATGAAGTTTGAATTAAGAAGCCTTTAAATACATTGAAAGAATGGAGGTCTAACCAAAAAAACTGAACTTTGTTTCAATTAACCGAAAGTTTGAATCATTAGAGTTTAAATTATTGCAAGTCTACTTACATATATTTTTAATATTTCGATTGATGCTGGAGATATATGTGTAACAGCACAATTATTTTTTCTCCCTTGACGGTCACACAAAATAAACTGAGACAGTTTTATGAAAAGAATCCGAAGAATTTAACTCAGCAATAAAAAAAACACATTTTTGGAGTAGATTTTACAAAAAAATTCAACCCTCAAAGGATGAAACATGCCCCATTGTATTGAGAACTACATTATAGTCAAGTTGAGAAATTTGCAAGCAACTACAGCCTTAAAAAAACAAGTCCACTTGCCAAACCTTTGGCTCTAGCACTTGTTAATGAATTCTATCTTCCCCTTCTTATTTTTATTTATACCTAATTAAGTGGGTGCCTAGAGTAACCGCCCCAGTATATTACCTGGTGTGAACAAGTGTGGAATCGGTGCGGGTGTCTTGTACCAGGAGGCTCTGCAAAGAACACTTGACTTCCAGGGACTGGTCACTGAAGAGATTCAGGCTGGCAGTGAGCTCTTCCAGTTCCAGCTTGGAAAGTGCGTGAAGGGGATCCCGCACAGGTGATGACAGCTTTTGATGAAACAACAGGTGCATAGCAGGGTAAGAGGAGAGCAACCTGTTTGTTTGACTGAGATTGTTCACAAAGCTCTAGTATTTCATCTCTTTACGCTGTGACTTAAAGCTGTTGTATCATTTCCTGGTTTGTGAAAGCTTGCCTGCTTTCTCCCTCGGTTCTGTTTCATTTCAGACTTGAATTCCTTCGCTAAAACTTTTGGTTCACAAAAAAGACAAGGACTAACAAAAACGACAAGATGATGCGCAGACTTTTGCATGTCGTTTTTGTACGCCACAAGCTTTCACAATGTTTCACCACCAACAAGCCCATTCTTACATCCTTTGAACTGCTGCTTCAGAAATCAGTCATTCCCATCATATTATTTTTCTAAAGCATCGTATTTACCTGATAGATCAACAAATTCACTAGCTTTGATCCTGTTATTCGACGGCTAATTTTGTACCAGTTCTCCTCAGGCTGAAACCAGTCATCAATTTCCGAAACCTGAGCTACTACTGCCATGTCTTCTTGCGTGCGCATTGTATGGGCACTGTGCGATTTCTTGGCCATGTTTATTTTGTGCTGTTTTTAACTATGGATTGTATGGAGTTAATTTCTTTTGGCAAATCCTACCAGTATCCAGGGGAAGGGCCTCTTTTCCTTTGATGAAGGTGGGTAGTTTACCAAAATAAACAATGAAAAAAGGCCTTCCGCAAATGACCCCCTCACTCCACCAAAAAAAAGAAGCTGGCTATGGGCCTGGCAGAATTTCTACTCTACTACAGCAATACTGATGTCATAGTTCAGCTAAATATTTCCAAAACCATAGTGGAGGGCATTCTTTACATTGCATGGCCATTCCATCAAAACGCCGTGGTCGGGATCTAACCCACAACCTTCGAGTCAGCACCGTAACTGCTACTGCGGACCTCAGCAGCTTTATTCTTACCTATGAACTGAAGAGGCCTATCCATGTTGAATTGTGTCAAGTATAAATGAACAACACATTTCACTATGCAAGGCCCCTGCTGCACCAGTTTTACACAAAGAACAATGTCAACTAACTAGAAGTCCCACTGGTTGTTTTATGTACTAAGCAAGTGTACTATGGCTCATAATCACTTCCGTAGCCCACTTCGTTATAGTCATGGATGGAGTCCCCAACACTAAACACTTTTAGTTTCTTTCCCTGCAGTGCATGCAACCCCTTTGGTTCTTGCAGCAGAATTCATCATTGTTGCTCACAACCTCTCGGTGAATTAGGAAGCCCATGCCATAATGTCTTCTATAAGAAGCCCTTTTTGACAAAGGATAATGGGGCCACAGGTAATGTCTTCAAAACTCACTTAATCTAATTGATGCCTTTAGCTTCGCCTGGGAAGCTTTTTATTTCTATTATTTCCTCAACATTCCTACTTGGGCAAGTTCGTTGGAAAAAGGAAACACCACAAAAGATACAATACGTACACGTGTGTATGTGTTGCCCCTCATGTGAGTCTCTGCTAGCGCTCGTACTTCTAGGTTTATACCCGGAAACAACTTTCTAGAGTAATGGAACAAAAACTGCGGAAGCACAACTAACTGCTCTGTGTACTGCACCAATATACTCCCTGATAAACTGGTTTTCACTGCAGTGCCAATGTGATAAGCACATATGTTAAAGTCAAATTTATTCGCATGATGCTCCGTGGTTCACTGCATTCATCCACAATCACCGAGCATGCAGGCATATTGGTGAGCCTTTCCCTGTGGTTAATGTGCTTCGAACCAGAGTACCACTCTGTACCACTGCCTTGAGCTGCGCAACAGTATGCTCGCTTATGCCGGTAAGCTGGCTGACCAAATTAAATGTGGAACTGCTGACGTAAGCCAGTCTCACTTGGGCGTGCATGTTGCAGGCCACTTGCTTTCTTTTTCTTTACAGATTTTGGTTCTCAAGCTTTTTGAAATCCTACATGGCAACTGAAGGGGCGAGCCACTGGAAGAAAAGGTGCTGTTGACCAGAAGGCCAGACATGTTTTTCTTTGTTTAAATGTGAAGCAGCTTATAAATAGGACCTTATAAATGAGGCCTGTATTCTCACCCTGAAGCTGCCACTAACGATGATGATGCGGCTGATGACAATGACGAAGAACAAGCACATTCAAGACCACACATTCTCTTTCTGCCATAACAGAACAGCACAAGCAAGAAGCCCGCTATATGCAATGACGATGACAATGATGATGATGACGATGACGATGGTGATAAATCACAGCCAACAACTGACTTGTGCAGTAGCTAACGTATGCATTTCCTATGACTGGAAACGACCAACAACTACCAGAAAAATGTGCCCAGACATTGTCGTTTCCAACTGCAAGCTAGATCCAATACCACAAAGCAGTAATAATGAAGGCTGAATTGGCATGATTGAATAATGAAGGCAAGGTAGGGCTCTATAAACTTGGCTGGAGTGCAACAGAAAATGGTGCCCGAGTATTCGCAACCGCATAAAACGATCTGTGAGCTGGCAACACTGGTAAAAAAAACAAATATTGCTTCGCTTAAAACGGTCAACATGGCACTTTTGCTTGGCGTTGTGCTGAAGTTTCTAAATTGTGGCATTGGATCGCATTGCTTCATCAAAGGGGAAAGGGTGCTGGTCGTGGACCATCTCATTTTGATCAGCATGAAGGGTTTGACTGGCGAACCAGCGGAAATACATGTGCTGCGTGTGCAAGCATGGAGCTTCTTCGGCAAACCGCATCAAATTTACTTCAAGTTGAAGAACCTGACTAGCAAGTGTCCTGATAAGTGTTGGTGCACAGTTATCACGTCCAAGTCGCAATATGCTCGCTTATCTTCTGTATCTGTGCTCATGTAAGCCACGAGCCTGTTAGGTCAGTGGGCCTAGAAATATGAATGGAAAGAAATGCCAGGCTCTTTTCAGTTTGTGCCGCCCAGGCATAATTTTTGATCGTGGACGAGTGTTGGTGGCTGGGTTACTGCAGCCCCCGCCAAACAATCGCAAGCCTGGGGTAGAAGGCATCTGCTCATGTGCAGCAGGCCACTCCGAAAGGTGCAAGCACATTTGTGCTGTGTAGCTATAGTGCTGCAAGCAAGGCCTCAACAGTTTTCAAGGTAACTATGCTGTGACTCGTGCTGCTGATTCCAGGTATCCCATTGAGTTCCCTTGTCTTGTCAAAAGCTTAATACGCACGCCGTTCACTTGATTACAGAATAGAGCTCTGCCTAGGCCAGTGTATCTCAAGATAAAACATAGTTTCGACTGTAATAGTGATGCTCCTTTCTTTTCGTTCACTCATCCATATTATTAGGTTTCTAATGAATAAGGTTGTGTATTTTTTAACACTCGCTCGTTCATGCGGCAGTAGTTAATATTAAAGCGGATGTATGCACGCACACCATGAATGCAAAAACATGTGATATATATATAAAGTCTTGGTAGTCTTGGTTGTGACAGCGTTTATTTGAGGAAATACCTCGCAAAATGAACGAGCAGAGTCAGTACACAGACGATTATGCTGATAATGACACAGAGTGGCCATGAGAACAAAGAGACAAGCAGATGATAGTGATTATGATCATGTAGAGATGGGAACGATGTATGTAACAAACACCCACACTAATTCTCCCCACTTGGATGTGGACACCTTGGCCGCCGTAAGTCAAAGTGACGGAGAACGCCGCTTGAAAAGTTTCATGCGAGAAACATGGACAATCTTGGCACTGCGGCAATGGCGGTCTGTTAGGGCGACAAGTGGTTTCACACGATAATTGACCGGTGAAGTCTATTCTAAAGCTATGTATGACTCGATGAAGCGTGATGAAGCGCAAGGCCGACAAAATATATATATACGCACACTATGCATGCATGACCATTGCATACGTGTTTGTGTTTGTGAATATACACACATCTATGTCGGAGCTACAGTAGTTAGACAGGACACTAGCAAGCAGTCACATGAGACGAAGAACTTCATTAAAGAACATCAAAGAATGAAAGCCTCAAAGCACACCAGACAAAATAGAACTGGCAGAGATCTCGAAGCTGGTTAACAAGTTTAAGGTATTTGGTGTAAGAATGTATAACATGAATAGAAATGAACATGCTCTAAAGAACAGAGGAAGCATCAAAGCAGTGAAAAAGAAATTTGGGATAGGCAAAACCTAGATGTATGCATTAAGGGACAAAGAAAACAAAGTAACTACAAATAGATAAGGCAGTTGAAGTAGCGGAGGAGTTTTACAAAGATCTGTACAGTAGCCAGAACAACCACGACCATAATGTAAGAACTATCAGTACCCCAGATGACATTCCACCACTAATGACTGAAGTGAGCAATGCAAAGAGGCAAAGCTGCTGGTGAGGATCAGATAAAATTATTTCTGCTGAAAGATGGAAGACAGATTGTGCTAGAAAATTTGGCCACCCTGTTTACAAAGTGTCTCCTCACAGGGAAGGTACCAGAATTTTGGAAGAATGGTAACGTCATCTTAATCCGTAAGAAAGAAAATGGCAAGAAATTGAAGATCTACAGGCCAATCAGCTTCCTCTCTATTGTATACAAGTTATTTACAAATACATTTGATAACGGAGTCAAGACAACATTAGAATTCAATCAACCAAAGGATCATGCAGGATTTCATACAGACTACTCAATACTGAATCACATTTATACATCAACAGGGTGACAGAGCAATGCTCAGAATACACTCCACCACTATACATAGCCTTCATTGATTACGAGAAGGCCTTTGGTTCAGAAGAGGTATCAGAAGTCATGCAGATACTGCTGAAATAGAGCATCAACGAAGCATATATAAACATCCCGGAAGAGATCTGCAACTGACGAACTGACACCATAGTGCTCTATAAAGAAAGCGACAAAATACCAATAAAGAAAGGCATAAGATAGAGAGACACGATCTTCCAAATGCTATTTACCACATGCTTAGAGGAAATTTTCAGGGCCTAGAATGGGAAGAGTGAGAGATACAAGTTAATGGAGAGTGCCTTAGTAAGTTGCGCTTC